AATACCCGAAGTCGACTTAGGACGCCTCGAGGCACCAAGACCTCCGACGACTATATATGCTTCAACATATCATAAGTAAACTTCCAAGCAAGAGTAAAACTACCAAGGATAAGAAGGAATCTAGATGCTGATTAGGAGGTGGACGAAATGTGAACCGACCAGGGCATTTTGGACACTTCGCATAATTCAGACAGGGCATTTTGGGGATTTCAAGGGAATGCTTTGCCTCTATATAAAGGAGTTGAGGTAACTCCAAACCCTAACTTTGATTCTCTCCATTCATTGCTCAGCTACTGCTCCTACTGAGCAGAGCTCATCTTTATCACTTTCATACTGATTTGAGCGTCGGAGGTTCTTCACTGGAAACATCTCCGGTGTTGAGTTATTTCAAGTGTTCGTCGCGACTCATGGACGATTTAATGGCGGTTCGAGCAGATCGGAGCTCATTTCCACCGGTTCACTCCAAATCTAGGAGGAGACCCATCATGTATATATATACCATGCATAATATTATATAATAATAAAAAATTAAAAACAATTAGACATTTAATATTAATAATAAAAATAATGCAATAATAAATAATCTCAATAATATTTATAACGACCGGGGCATTACAGCCCTAGTGTTCGATCCCAACAGGATAATAAGGTCACACTCGGGCTAACCGAGGCCAACGGCCCCACTTAAAACACAAAATCTAGCACTAACACAAACACGAACATCACAAAACAAAGACAACGTATAAAAAAAATACAAACAACCCTTCCCAGCAAACGAGCAGGACCAACCAGCAGTGAACGATCGACAAAAGAAGGAGTCCCAGCCCGAGAAAGCGCTACCGAAACTGCGCAACTGCCTATACAGTAGTTGAAACCGAGCCCCAAACCATTCTCCAGAATCGGCCAGTCTCCAACCGAGAAGAAACAAAACCAACCCCCACCAGTCCCTCTCGAACCCATCTAATACCACTAGCCGAGCCCAAAAGAACCAAGCCCCCAGACCCCTGCCGCCTAACACCACTAGTCGAATTGGGGAGGAGGGGGGAAAGAGGGGGTAGGTGACGCGGATCCTCTACCCCGTCCGCCGCAACAGACGGGGCCTTTCTCCATCCTCAGACCACACACCACCGAGCACTACCACAAACCCCGACGACCAACAACCCAACCCTACTTGAAGCTCCACTAGAAAACAAAACCTCCAAGAGAGGACGCCAATAGAAGCCAAAAACAGAGATATAGAGGGCTTACCACCAGTCATCGAAGGTCCACCAGCAACCGGGAAACAAGGCCACCCATCGAAGGCCGGTAGCCGACCACGGGGGCAGCACCTCCAAGCTCTGTTCCGTTGTCGATTGAGAGCCATGCCACGCTGACTTGCAGCAAATTCGAGGCTCATTGAGTCCAGCACGGGATGAGCGGCTAGGGGCGACCACAGGCCGAGCCCCACTGTCACCAAGGAAGGAAAATCGGCGCTATATACGGAGCTAGGGAGTTAGAGATAGCTTTTTTTTTAGAGAGAGAGAGAGAGAGTTTTACAATAATTAGTTTACATATGTATTGTAGCTAAAGGTTACACTCAAGAAGAAGGTATTAATTACTTTAATACTTTTTCCCCTGTAGCAAGGATTACTACAGTTAGATTTTTAGTTGCATTATCCTCTATTATGAAATGGCACATTCAACTTGATTTTAACAATATTTTCTTACATGGTGATTTAAATGAGGAGGTATAAAAGGTGATCAAAATGTTTGTGAATTACTCAAAAGCCTTTATGATCTCAAATAAGCCTCAAGGCACAAATTGACCACATGTTTGATTTCTTATGGCTTTAAGCAATCCATCTCTGACTGCTCTCTTTTCACCTTGTCTGATAATACTAATTTTATGGCTTTACTTGTCTATGTGGATGATGTGATTATAACTGGCAAAGATATGTTCTTTTCCAGATCATCTTCTTTACAGTTGACTGCATATAGTGATAGTGATTGGGGAGGTTGCCTAGACACAACAAAAAGTTTAACCACTTATGTTGTTTTTCTTGGTGACTCTCTCATTTCATGGAAATCCAAAAGGCAATCCATAGTTAGTAGATCTTCAGCTGAGACTGAATATAGGGCACTTGCATCAACATTATGTGACATTCAATGGCTTTTATATTTATTTCAAGAGGTGCACTTGAACCACCCCTCCCCAGTTTCTATTTTCTGTGAGAGCAAGTCAGCCATTGCTATAGCTTCAAACCTTGTCTTCCATGAAAGGACCAAGCATATCCAGCTGGGCTGCCACTTCATCGTAGAAATTGCATTCAAAATAACTTAACTCCAGTATATATCACAAAGGATCATGTTGCAGATATCCTGACCAAGCCATTACCTGGTCCTGCCTTTTCCTTTCTAAATTCCAAGCTAAACATGTGTAACATTTATGTTTAGCTTATAGGGAGATATTAGACTATCATTGTAAATAGGTTTTATTATTTTCTTGTAATATATATTTTAATTCTCTTCATTATTAGTATAGCATTTTGTAAAGTTGCTACTTGTCTCAACAACTATAGTTATATGCTCTAGGTGTAAACAGAGCAGATGTACATTAGAACCCAAATTTTTCAATTCATTCTTTTCTTCAATACAAACAGTCTTCTTCTTTCTCTATTCATGTCTCTTTGTGTTCTCTCGATCTGAATGATCTGCTAGGTGGCCGGGCTTTGAGTCTGTTAGGTGTAGGAGAGGTTTTAGTTTATTTATATATTAAGTGTGTGTTTTTATTTTTTTTTTCGTGTGTTAGTCCAGGTTTTCTAGTATCTCCTTTATGGAGTTTTGTTTTACTTTTGCGGTTGCCTCCTTATGAAGTTGTACCTCTTGGATTCCTCTGGAATTGAAAGAGAGTATATCCCCACATCTGGTACTTTGGTGTCAAACATTCTTTCTGTACTATTTTCGAGTTTTCTATTTGTTTAAGTGTTTGTCATTTGAAAAGAAAAAATCTAAACAATACAATCTCAAGATAAAAAATAATCTAATCTCATCTTGACAAGCAAACACAATTGAAAAAATAGGGAAGTGTACTCTCATTTTGCACATCGCATAGAAATAAGAAAATATCTTCATACCCACCAATCAAAAAAAAAAAAAAAAAAAAAAATCATACCTAATATTTTTCCCTCATTAATGGCTAGATGTCAAACTCAACAAATTTTAGTATAGTTATTTGACATATATGGAATAAATTTATGGACGCACTGTATAAGTTATTATAGATAATAATAGAGGGAATGAATCGATAAAACATAAGGTGTAAAAATGCATAAAGCACAAGAATTTGGCATATTCTAAATTCAGTGCTTTGATTAACATTGGTTTTAATTAAGAAAAAAAAAAATGTGTGGACCATTTGCCTTACTATTCTTCCCACCACATGGTATGTATCTGTGTAGCCGCTGACAGAATGGACTTAGTCAGCCATTTTGCTTCCAATCAAACATCAACAATTTAGATAAGAACACTTAAAATGCTAACATTCGGTAGCCAAACAAATCCCGGTCCATTGGGCGGTATACAATGAGTAGCCTATCCCATTTTAACATCTATCCAAAAACTTAAGGAAATTTATTTTAAAAGTTAAAAAATTATTTTAAGTTAATTTTAATCAATATACGTGATAACATTAAAATCCCTCCTATATATAATTCTCGAATGTGTTGAGCTTGAGCCTAAGTGGCAGGCTCGTATGCTTTGAAATCCTATGTGTCAAAATTTTATGCTTTGTTATTTGACTTGGATAAATTTTAATTTAATTCCAACCCAAAACTAATTAGGTTCGGATTACCATAAATATATTGATTTATTTATGATCATTTTAGATATATTAATTGTACTTTAATATTATTTCCTATTATAACTATTGAATGGTAAATATATTTTAAAGTTGATAACTTTTGTATTTCTTATCGGTTTTACATATATAATGTATCAAATTAATTATCTTTTGATGATCTTCGATTTGACATCCATAGTGTATTTATAAAATAAACTATATTATTTTTACAATGATAAAATAATATTTATTAAAATTAAAAAAAAAAAAATTATCAATGAATACGTTCATGTTTAATGTAGTTACATGTTATAAATTAGAAAATTTATTATAATATAACACATGTAAGGCACAAATAACAAGTGTCATATTAAAATATAAATATATATATATATACATATATAAATAAAATATTTAAATTTCAACTACTTTTTCTTATTAATTATAACTTTTAAGAAAATAATTTATCAATCACCCGTGTAATACACATGCATTGTACTAGTATAAACTATTTTATTAAATAATTTTATTTATGTTAAAAAACTTATAAAAATATTATTTGTGATTAAAATTTATATTTTGAAAAAATTTAAGAATATATAAAATTAATGCATATAATAAAAGTAGTAAATATATTTGTAAAACTAGTTTCCCAAAAAATCAATACAATAAATTTAGTGAATTAATCTTATTAAAGTAATTTTACTAAAAATATTTCTAATTATTTAAAAAATAATTTAAAAAGAAAAAACAGTATTGTGGTTTACATAATTATATCAAAATACAAAGTGATTTGTAGTCTTAAATTGGAAAATAAAATGTAAAATTAAATTTTATATTAAGAATAACTTAAAGCTGAAACCTTCTAATGAAAAAGTTGAAAATTCATATTTTATCGTGACACAATAAAATAAAAGTCAAGCTCTACAATAGAATTTTTTCGTTTAAACAGACATGCATATTAAATATTAAAATAAAAAGGATTGATAAATAATAACACATGTTTATAATTTTTGGCATAAACACATCAATCACTTGAAAAATCTTAGTAACCAACACATGAAAAGAAGAGACAAGGCCAACACCAAATGGGTGGGAGCATTCATCCAAGGCAAATACGGCTTTTGAATTATTGCCCAAACACACTCACAAGTAACGCAAACTAGAGAGGATATCAGCGCCTTCACCTCTGTTCCCTCATGCAGTTCCCTGGCAACAAATACTTGTACTCCTCCGCATTCTCGACGAGGTACGAAGGCAGGTTCACCCCTGAATACGAATGCGGAATACTCCCCATCCTACCTATCATCTCCCTAAACGTGTACTCCTCCGGCAGCATGTCGTACAAGTCCGCCCCCTCACATATCTTCTCCTGAATCCTCTTCGGGTTCAGAAAACGCGAGAACCTCACACGATCCGCGTGACTGTACGCCTTCATCTTGAAAACAAAATCACTCAAATACCGGAAGCAGAAGCTACAGTGCCATCCCGAGTCGGCCAGCAGCACATCCGTCTGCCGGTAGTGCGCATACCTCGTCTTCCCCCTCACGTACCTGTGCACCGAGGCCCGCCAGCTCACGTGCTCCTTCCTGAACTCGAACGAGTATATATAATTCCTGAGCTCCAGATGCAGGACGGGAGGAATATCTTCGCACCACCTCAGCAAGTCGATCGTGTGGCGGCTCGGGATCTCGTCCACGTCAGACATTATGAGCAGGTCGTCGTCCTCGATTCCCGCCGAGCGCAGGAGGTGATCGAGGGCGACGCGCTGGTATCCCTCCTCAAAGAAGGGGTTCTTCTCGC